CCTGCAGGGGAGGGAGAACTTTATAAAAAGAAAAAAAATCTTAAAAAAAAAAAAAAAAGAAAGAAAATCATGAGGAAGAGAAAATAAATTTACAGTATGTAAGAAATCCTTCTATAAGTGGACCTGCGCAGTTCAAGCCTGCGTTGTTCAAGGGTCTACTGTAATTTCAATTGGATTGCTTCCTGGGTTGCCAGTGAGCAAACAGCCAGAGCGAAAGCTGGATGGTTGGTTGGGATCACACTGAGGTGCCCTAGGAGACAGGTTGAGAATTTGGTCTTCATTTGGTTTTGACAATGAGAAAAGGATTACTAAAGAAAACTTTATCACTGACATGTAGATTGTAGCTAAGTGTAGATAAAACTGAGGTTGGGTTACCAGGTAGGAGGTCACTGACTTAATCTAGTGGTATACCCTTGGCCTTGTGTGAGAAGGAGCCTCCTTAAGCAAAATAAAATAACTCAGGTTGAACATTAGAAGGCATTTGATCTAATAAAAATTTTTACTATCCCTTGATTCATTTTTCTTTATTTCGTAAAATACTGAAAGCTTTCCCTAATGCTTATTTTTATACTATCTTTCTGTTCCAAAGATAATGATTAATGACAATAATAATTTCTAGTAGGTCAGAATACTTAATGCCTAAAGATGTTTTTATATTAATAGGTCATAAATAAATTTTTTAAAAAAGTATTTGGCTCCTAAATTTTAATCATCCCTCAACCCAGCACTGCTCTTCATATATCCTCCTTCTGCTCCAGCATTCTTTTGTTTGGGGGTTCAAAGGAATTATTATTTTTTGCCTTAGCAAAGGGACTAATACTGTGTGTTTTCCCATATAAAACAACTTTTTTTTTTGTGATTCTTTACCACTTTCTACCATTCCTTCAATAATCAAGTCTTCCTTCCTTCCTTCCTTTCTTCCTTCCTTCCTTCTGTCCTTCCTCTCTCTGTCTATTTCTTTCTCACACTCTTCTTACTCTCTTTCATACAGAGAAAGTAAGGGTAAAATATAAAATATATTTATTTTATACTTCCTAACCAATTGCTATCATTCTGCTGTAGTATTTTTTGGACCATAATTCTTTGCTTTTGTGCTTTGTGATTAATCTAAGAGCAATTTCTAAAATATAACACGTATTTGATGTATTTTTAAACACTATATATATATATGTATATATATATAGCTCTTGTATAATGAGCTATATTTTTCTTTTAAGATTTTAAAATAGATAAAAATACAGAATACTCAGTTAAATTTGAATTTCAGATAAACAACAACAAATAATTGTTTTGTATAAGTGTGTCCCAAATATTGTGTGGGGCATACTTACACTAAAAATTGTTGGCTATTTATCCAAAATTCAAATTTAACTGTGTCCTGTATGTTTTGTTTTTGCTAAATCTGACAACTCTTTATATTATCTAAATGCAAAATAATTACTCTCCTTTCATTGAGGTATTTTTTAGGTTTAAGCAGTTAAACTCACTGAGGCATTACTATAGGTATTTAGCAGAACTTTGCCAGCTGGAAATAACACATGGAAATACTTTTTTAAACAGCTTAGCCAATATAAACCGTTCTTGATGTCACTTAATAATTAAGGAATTGTAGTCTTCTTAATAAAATAAACCACATCTCACTAAATAATAGTAAATATTTCTCGAGCTAAAATATAAAAAAGGTTGCCAACCCTATTCTACCTCCTAAAATTCTTTATTTTATTTTCCCTAATCTCTGGGAGCCAGTGATTCAAAACAGTTCATTACTTATAGATAGTTTAGATCTGGAACTGTGTACTGGTGTATTATTTAACTTTCAGAACCATAAAAATGACTCTAAGGTGATTTTTATCAACATGGGTTTATCTTTGTTTAGCCAATTACTCCCAAGGTAAATTGGTCTACATTTTCCACTGAGACAGAATTTCTATTATATACTGAATGGACTATCAGCAAAATAATATATGATACATTATAAAAATTATTATAAATTATAAAAATAATATAGATTGACTTCTACTTTTGGGAAGATAAATTAGATAGACTATTCCCTCAGTAAAACTAAAAACCCTGGAAATTATATATAAAACAAACGTAAGGACATTCTGAAAAGTGAAGAGAAAAAGGCACACCAGTTAGGGAGTTCAGGTCCCAGAATGAGTTCCTTAGGTTTTCCTTTTACTTCACGCACCCCAGACTTGGAGCTGAAGAAGTTGGTAACTGGGAAACACCAGTAAGTGCAGACACAGAAAGCTCCAACAAAAGCCTGCTCTCTGGCCAAAGGACAGGAAAGGGGCAGTCTAGCAAAACAAAACTTTTGGAAAATAACTGCTTTACTTGACCAAAACATTGTAGAAAAACAAACAAACAAACAAACCTGGCCGGTCCCCTACTCACACCAGCAAAGGTCAAATGAGGAGCTTAGACTTCTACCCTCTCAAGGCTGGAATGAGTCTCCTCAAATCTCTCATTGGGGTGGTATCAGAGAAGGCTGAGTAGAGAGCAGAAGCTTTCATCCCCCACCAAGAAGTAATGAGCCCCCCACACACACCTGCCTCTACCCCTGTGTCATGATATCAGCAGAGACCACCTAGAGAGCCTGAATTTAAAGTGTTACCTAGCTGTAATGAGGTGCCAGTCCCCTTCCCAACTAGGGTGGTGTCTTCCCACTCTCTTTCCCCAGCCCCCGTGGTGGCAGTAATGAAGGAGTCTTACCCTCCCAGCCAGAGACTCATCAGTGGAGGCCAAAGAGATACAAAGGAAGCAGAAGTAAGAAAACAGTAAAGAACAGAGATCAATTGAAAGCAAAGCAGTAGAGGAACTATCCATGAAATAAAGAGGTGGTTCTTTGTGAAGATTAATAACACTGAAACCTCTAGCCTATAAGTCTAGTAAATCTTACAGGAAAAAAAGAGGCAACACAAATTATCAACATCAGGAATGCAATGGGAATATCACTATGTATTCTGCAGACATCGAAAGAATAATAAGGGAATACTATACACCAGATGTAAAAACTGGGGCACCAAACACATATAAGAGCTCCCTGGAGAGATGCTGGCACTCAGGAACATGGCAGAGGGAGAGTTCAAAGATAGATAGTGCCCACCCTCTGTGGTCTCAGGAAAGGAATACAGTCAGCCCTTAGATGTGTTTAATTATAAGCCTGCATAATTCACGCTGCAGCTATGATGATAGGCTAATAGGTTTCTTTCACAGAAATACTGAGCTTTGGGCCTGTTCCTCTTGCTGTGCCCTAGAGGTGGTAGCTATTGAAGAACTTCCTCCATTAATTATAGTCCTATGGGACCCATGAGCCCCACCGGTCACCAGAGCCAAGCGACGTAGAGGTGTCTGCTGGCAGCAGCTGCAAAAATCAGGGTGCCAGACAACTATCTCCCTTCTGAAAGATACTGGTGATCTGGAGTGAGGCAGAGAAAGAGGGCAAAGACTAGGCCACTAGCCTCCACTCCCTAAGAGTACTTCTGTAGGCCTCTATAAATGTGCCAAATCAGAAGCCTGCCCCTCAGGCCAAAACTCCTAGACAAGCAAATAGGCCTCTTTTTCAGGAAGACTGGAATGTGTTTCAGTCTGAGGTCTAGGCAGTGCCCTGGGAATGGTAGTCTGCCAAGTACTGTCTGATTGTTCTAGTCTCATGGGGTCTGGGAAAGCAGGCCACCTGGCCTCCAGAACCAGGCAATCAAGGGGGTATTCACTGGGTGACAGCTGCAAAAAATGGGTTACCAGATATGTGTACAGCACAGCCCCCCCCCCCCCCCCGCATCGTGGAGCTCTAGAATGTGGCAGTGGAAGAGTATCAAGATTGCACTCACAGCTGGAGTAGGCAGAAATGGGATGCAAAGATGGCACCCACCAAAAAAAGGAAAAAAAAGATAGGAAAAGGAAAGACATGAAAAGAAATAAAAAAAATTTTTAAAAATGGGGCCCTCTGGCTTTAGAAAGGCTGAGTGAGATCAGAAAGATGGCACCCACCAGCTTCCTTCCCCAGAGCGTTGCCCAGCAGACCCCTGCCTTTCAGACCAATGCTTTAAGATTAGTAAATGAGCCTCTTTCACGTAAACAATGGGTGCTTTTCGAAGGGCTGCTTCTGCCCTGAGCCCTGGGGTCAGTGAATCTGCACGTGCGCCCTTTAAGAGCCACGCCGCAGATCACCACCGACCATGTTCCTCTCCGCGCAAGCCTGTTAAGTCTTCAAAGCCAGAGGTTTTCGAGGCTCCTCTCTCAGGTACTGGTCTTAAAAGTTGAGGTGTCTGGGGGCGCCTGGGTGGCTCAGTCGGTTAAGTGTCTGACTTCGGCTCAGGTCCTGGGATAGAGCCCCAAAAGGGGCTCCGTGCTCAGCAGCCGTGCTCAGCAGGGAGTCTGCTCCTCACCCTCTCCCTCTCCTGGCCCTCCCCCATCGTGCCCCGCAAGCTATCTCCCTCTCTCTCTCTCAAATAAATAAATAAATATAGCTTTAAAAAAATGTTGAGGTGCCTGCTGTGGGGTACAAGCCGTTGGCTCCTCAGGAAGAAGCTCAGGGTTTTGAGTTCCCTGCTGATTTTGGGTCCCTGCGCTGTGGGTGGGGTTTATGGCGAGATTGTGCTTCAGCCTTCCCTGCTTGCTTTGGTGTGGTATCCTTCCTGTTTGCTTAATGTGAAGGGGTTGCTCTGCCAGTTTTTAGATTTTTTTCAGAGAAAATTGTTCCGTAGAGAGCTGCAGATTTGGTGTGTGTATGGAAAGAGGGAAGGTCAGGATCTTCCCAAGTCACCATCTTGAACCAGAACCTCTAAAATCTTAATGGTAAAGAGAACCAGAGCATCAGAATCCACAAACTTAGAGGATCCCCGTTGAGGTGAATACTCAAAATAAAGCCATTATGTTTCTACTTCTGTGATTTTCACGCTCAGCTGAATTGATTTTGAGGCTGATCTCCATGTATTTAATTGAAGGCATTTGGGGTGGATTTTAGCAGTTTGCATTGAGGGAAGAGGGTTTATTACGTCTTGAATGTGGCGAAGTAGAACATTCTTTATGGATCATTGCAAAGAATATATTTGCCTTTCACAAAACTCATTCAGGTCCTTACCTTTCAAAAAGATTCCAAGTTTTCTTTCCCTGAATGTACATAACTCGGGCACAGAAACACTTTCCCCCCCCCTTCCTTTGTTGTTAATTAGCTTTTCTAACTTTTTTGGAAACAGTTTGATTCAGGTTTGATTACAGGTGACCACAGAGATGCTAAAAGAACATATGAAATCTTGAGAAATCTAGGAAATGTCATATAACTTGCCTGTCTTTGTGTACTTTCAACTAGTATTATTTTCAAGGTGAAATAGGTGAAAGGTGTATTATTTTAAAGATCTAGAAATTATTGAAAATTATGGGACCACTCTCCTATTCCTCTGTAAATTTTGCCAGTGATATGCCTATCAAGAGCAATTTCATGGTTTGGACATTCAACTGGTGGCTGGTCAGAAGTGGTTTTCCTGACTCATCTCTGAGTTTCCTCTGATGTTTTCCTTTATTTTTACTTAGATAGGATATAAAGAAGATAAGGCAATAGAACTAAAGTAAAATGGAGGCGGTCAGGCTGTTTGAGGGTCAAAATTGGCTTGTTTGCTCTGAATATTATCTGAGAACATTTCCTTACGTATTACTTCAAAAGCCAGACTGAGTCACATATTGAGTATATGGGTTAATAACAGTAGTATAGGTTCTTAAACAGCCTGTAATTAATGTCCATATTTCAAAAGGAAATAGGTTGAAAATGTTACTTACAAGCTAAAAATTCTATTTTGCGAAACTACATATTTTCTGTTTTTGTGTGTTGTTTTCACATTAAGGCTTTTAATCAGAGCTTTTGATGTATCAGGATATAGAATGTTTGAATGAGTGAAGAACATGTCAAGGCTGGCAAAAAGTTGGTTGAATTTGGAAGTGGCTTCTTAGCAAAATGGTTTTCTGATTCTGGAATCAGAAATGGTCATGTTTCTAATATATTGGTATACTCAGACAGATGCCAATTTTTGAACTATGTGCCTCCTATCTAAAGATGTCATTTATTATGGCAGTTATTATCATAAAGACAAGACCTATTTTCTCATCCTCACCCTCTCGCATGTGTTTTCTCTACAGAATTCGTGTTTCCCAAGACAAGGCCAGTCCTATTTGAATGTACTGTTTATTTATGCTTGCTGGCATACCTGAGCTGGTACCTGCTTGTTACCTAAAATAATAGTAAAATGTGAGGCCATTAGGTGTAATTTGGGAGACCAATCGAAGGATAGGACTGTATTTATTAGAATCCTATGATCTTAAACTTGTGAGAAACTCCATAGTTATCTTAGGAGCAGGATAATTTAAATATTGGATGACAGTAAATGTAGAAGCCCAAATCTATGCCTCAATTATTCACTAAAACAACCTCCAAACTTTAAAACAACCAGACAATAAAAAATAAGAATTTGAGTTATTTTGTAAAGAAAAGAGAACTGAGGGGACATTAATTGATCTTGAGAACACTGGTGACGTAAGTAGTTTCTACTTCCAGTAAGGAAATGATGAATACCATATAATTTGTCCTCCAAACTTGGATAATTTTGAAAGTGAGTGGGTCCTATTAATAATTAAACATTAAAAGAAGTAGGCAAATAGCAGGATGTATAGTCACCCTAAGATGATTTCTTTGTTCACTAATTTAACTGACACTCTGCTAAGTACCTGGGGAAAAAATGACACCATCCCTGTCCTCAAAAAGATCAAAGCCATGAAGGTGGAATATATATGTTCTTATTAGGAATTAAGAAAAAAAGAACTTTTTTGGGAGCACAGGGGAGAGGTTTCTCTCTGTAACCGAGGATACAAAAAGATGCTATTAAGCCTTTAAAAATCCATAGGGTTGAGAATAATGAGCTCTCGCTCCCATTTGACAGCTAAGGAAAGTGAGACTCATTCTGTTCAACTAGCCAATAGCAGATGGGAAGCTCAAGTATATGGTCTCTGCGTTCCACTCTAAAACTATGTTATCCTCATGGGAGTTACCAGAGGAAAGGGACATAAGAAAGTGCTAGAGATTTAATTTAGTTTTCTTTGGAGACAAAGGATAGCATAAAGCTTCTTTGTGATTGAGTATCCTTGCTGTGAAGAGAATACCTAAACAACCCAACTTACTCACTTTTAACCGTATGATTCTTAAATCACACATTGCACTCTTTTAATGCTTTGAGATCTCTAGTAGGTTTTTTTTTTTTTTAAAGGAAGACTCTCTGATACCAGATTTTCTTTGCAAGTTATCTCGTGACAAGGCATTGCAATGTGTATACCCTCCTTCTAGGATAACTGAGCCTTTCACTACACCACATTCTAAATGGAATGTCATTATATCCAAGCATAGCAAAAGCAGAGCCTACTGTGTATACACATCAACTCCACCAAAGTCCATTATGAAAACATTTCTCAGAAGATGCTTTATTATATTCTAGAAACATACTTGTTAGCTGGATATTGTACTAGTCGATAATATTGGGAATGAGCCTGCCTACATGTAGACATACACTCATTTAGGCTCATGTTACATCGTTTAACTATTCTGTGATTTGTTATTTCTCTAATGCTACTCATTTCATTATTCACTTGGTTGACTTTAACTCAGTTGACCACATATGACCATTGAATCAATCAAACAAACATGAATACCTGAAACTTGTTTTTAACATTGTTCCTTATTTTAGTATAAAAATGTTTATTCAGTATGTTTATTTTGAAGATGAATTTTAATGATAGAAAATGGTAATTATAAGAAAAGTAATAAAATGTGCCGTCTTTGAGGCAGAAAGTGCAGCACTTAGCACAAGACAATGGCCTACATTCTCTGACTGACAGGTGGATATCACATTAGATGAAAATGATAAGAGTTTTAGTGGACTGAAGAATAACTTCCTCTTGACAGTGCCCTGACCCTTGACCTCTGGCCTAACTCTTGTTAGCTTCACTAACACAGGGTAATTGTCACAGGTGTAGGATAAAAGACATCTCTACAGAAGCTACCAACAGTCTGAGATTTCTTTCTTTTGATGACCACAAAGGTGCTGCTGAGATAAAATCATAAGTTCAGACTTTCTCAGATCTGGAAGGACATAAAAATTTACCCATGAGAAAGCAAAATCCCAAATACAAAGAGTGTTCTTTACTGGTTAGCTTGAAGATCACTGTTGTAACCGGGAGGATATGTGCATCAGGGGAAAGGGATGGCAAATATGTTACTGTTGTTACCTTGAAAGCATGTTTCATCCATAATTGTACACAGGTGTAGTAAAGGATGCTCTATGCACAATAGATACCCCAAATTTCTATAATTATTAGTAAACTCTTAGTATGTCATACTCTGGAAGTGTGTCCTATTCTAAAATGATTCTTTTGTATTTATATGCTAATCACCTTCTTCAAAAGAAATCAGGTCTTTGAGTTTTATTTAAATGTTCTCTGAAGGTAGTAGCTTTAAGAGTACTTATGGATGATGTGATAACAATTGTGACTTCTCATGAAAGTTAATGCCTCCTCCTGTAAGAAAATATATTGTACTCTCCTTTTTTAGCAACACAAGAAATTCAGAAAACACAGTGAAGCACAATGAGTTATGCAAATCCATGTTATAATAGAAGAATATTACAAGGGAAAATCAAATGCCTGTAACATCCATTAAAGTGAAGTCATTATAGTCATATACCCAGGATTTAAAACAAAACAAAACAAAACAAAACAAAAAAAACAGAAGAAAAGAATGACTATTGCTGGTAAAATGAAAATGACTTCACATTCCATTAAAATGAAGTCAAAGCAGTAACCTGGCATTGTTTTCAAAATGTTTTATCATGAAGGAAACAAAGTCAACTTTTCAAACACTTGGCACAATAAAGTGGTGTATTTCATTATTCTGTTTATTTAGGGGTGTAAAACTAGTATCATCCAAATGTTTGTTACTCAGTATGAAGGAACCATAACAGTTTCTTAACCATAATGGATTTCCAGAATCCAGTTTTTATTCGAAACTATCTACCAAAGGCATAAATTACTTTTAAATTTATTGAGGGTTCTTATTCAGGTCATAGGTCTTGTCCTTCAACATTTTATTTTTAATCCACAGCATGCTTTCATGACACAAAATGAGTATACACAAGCTTTCGGATAATCAGTCAAGGAAAATACAAAGATTATGTTTATCTTAAAGTGATACAATAGGTAAACTCC